AGGAAAACAAAATAATTGAAAATCATCCCCAACGTATTTAAAAATATACAGAATTAATTCTGAATCCACAGAACAGCTGTGAAAAATGGGAGAATGGAAACACTGAGCATCTGTACTCGATAAAACTTTCCATACATTAATAAATGCTTGGAAAGCAGAAGAGCAACATCCTTCCCTTTTCTAATTCCAGCATTTCATGTTCATATTCATGGTGTTTGTTTAGAGAAACAGTTCCAATACCTATACAAGAATCACTTAATAAAACCTTGGTACAGAGGATTTTTTGTTTATTTGGTAACTATGGATTCATTTCTTACAATATAACTTGTTGCCCCGAGGATTTGGAAATCCAAGTTGGATAAGAGGAAAAGCTGAGAATCTAGGGAAAAAAAAAAAAAAGACATTGTGCTTTCTTCAGAAAATAATGGGGAAAGTAATGGTTGAGTTGAAGGAAAATTATATATAAAGAATAAATCATTCATGCAAGGCATGAAAGAAAATAAGGTGCTATCAAATGCTTAGAGAATATTTATTGAAGAGATTTTAACTGCTCCCACCACAGCCTTCCCTGGAAAGGGCCACCACTGGTTATCAGCTTGGCTTTTGGACTTCATGGCTTGATTTGTCCCCAGCCACTGTGTTAGGAAAGGAACCTTTAATATATTTAATTTTCTTTATGAAAGGAACCCTCAATTTGCTTTATGAAAGGAACCCTCAATTTGCTTTTTACGTCTCCTCCTCTGAGTAGAAACCCTCATGTATCTCCCAGCCTATTTGTTCTCCCTGTTCTCAGTATGAACATCAGCTGGTTCAGGCCATGAATTTCAAGCCTTTCCAGATCATCCACCTTTCTGTTTCATATTTAAGCAGCTTCCTAGAGAATTGCTGGACTCTTGTATCTCCCCTTGGGTTCCTCACACACACCAAGAGCAGAGACAGCAGCTCCCACCAGGCAGGAGAGCTGGGAAGTCTCCCCCATCCCATATTCGATATCCATATTTTACCTTTAATTTTTTCTACCCACCCATTAATTAAATTCCTTGAGTTTTTTATCACCATTCCCTTTTTTTTTTTTTTTTTTTTGCAAAGCCTCAGCGGCTCCAGGGATCTGAGATCAACACCTGAGGATGGATCCTGGAGCCCTGAGGTCAATTAAAAGTTATCAGACAATCACTGCTGCAATTACACCGCGATTTGGAGGGAACAGGGAGCTTTTCACTTGTCTTTGATTTCACCACAGCGAGTGCTGCCTTTGTCAGATAAGGATTGAGCCCATATATTTAAAGTTCCAACAATTTTAGATAAATCAAGCCCAGTATGAAATTTTAATCATCTCCTCTGCTGAGTGATGGCAAAGAACAGCAAGGACTGCTGGAGGTTTCTCTTTGATTCAGAAATACAGAACCACCCCGACAGGAAGAAAGTTAGATTCCAGTTAATTTGCTATTTAGCAGTTTTTACATCAAGAAATATGCTGATAAATGCCTTTTCTTGAAATATAAAAAAATGCTTAGCATTTCCTAAAAGTTTGATTTTACTAGGTACTCTTTTAGTCTTATAGACTTGTCAAAAATAGTGAGAATTTTTTGCAACTCCTCCTCAAAATATTGTGCGTCTGAGAAGCACAGTGCAGGAATTGTGTAGAAATGTAGGTGGAAGGGTTGAGTAATAAAAATGAGACACAGTTTTCCCTTTGGAAGTAACAAAGAACACATATTACACTGCAAATAAAAATATGGATGGAAGCATCTCTGAAACCATTAAGAAATCTATATAAATGTTCTGCTAAGTACAATTTTATCTCTTATGCCTTTTTTATAAAGTCAAAACTGTCTATAATATCAGGTACATTATTCCAGGTGTTTCCTGGTGTGATGTTGGTGGTAAATAAACACAAATTTTTAAATTAGATTTATCATTTTTTTGCACTTAAGCTTTTTTGGTTATAGTCACCAGAAGGTTCATCACCAACTCAATGAATTGTACATAATTTTTTTTAACTTCCAGCCTATCCATGAACACCCTGCAGCATTTCCAGCAGAATTTTGACATTTTTCGTTTGATTTTTCCTGCACTTCCATTCAATATCCAGAGCAATCCCACAGTCCTGCATTTTCATACAAGTTGGAAATTGAGGGTGTTTTCCCCTCCATAATCTTCTCAGGGAGGACTCAATGGAACCAATAAATAAATCCAAGGGCAGCATAAGCAGCATTGGTTAGAAGAGCATTTTAATATTTCAGCCCAACACAGAATGCTGCACTACAAGGAGATAAAGAGATTCAAATCCAATCCAAATCCAAGCAGCACAAGGATAACTGGAGCACACAAATGAAAGGGAGGGAACAGAGCACAAAGTCTACAAGGCTTGCAAATGACATCAAATATGTTCATAATCACTGCATCAAGCTGGAGAACCATTCCCAGTAATCCCAAAAATCCACCCTGGGCACAGAAATTGCAGCTCTGCCCTTGTGTCCTTTTCCCTGGAATGTTCTTCCTTGGCTCAGTGCAGATTCTGCCTCAAAACTGGGGTGGGATTAAAACTCCTTCACCCTCTGCTGCCTTGTTCACAGGCAAGAGTTTTTACACTTCTCATTTTCTTCCTGACTGGAAGTGCTGTACATGAAGGGGGGGTTTTGCAAATCCTTTTCCCAATTACAACAAAGCCTCAGGTGGCTTGGCAGGACATTTCCATTTGAATGCAAATAATCTAAGAAATATAGAACACAATGAAGTCATAAAAATGTTGATATTTTTATTATAGCAGCATGCTGAAAAGAGAATTTATTAAATCATGTGAGCATATCCCCACTCACAGTCCTTGGGCTCCTAGGGAGCTGATCAATTCAGCATCAGAACATAGGAAATTTTTTAAAGTTTAGGTTCTGAAACAATTGGTGAAAGAAAAACAATCCTGAATGTATTTCCCATAACTGAGGAAAAATATTTTCCAATGGTTGCATGAAAAAAAAACACAAAAAATACATCGATGATCTCTGCCTTAAGGGGCTTATGTTAAAAATTCCCTAAAATAATTATCCAGATTTCTGTGTATTAATACACTGCAGAACACACAAAGTCATTAAATCATTGTCTACCACATGAATTCATTAATTCGCTTCCTTCAGTGATGTAAACATATTAATTAGGGAAAAAGCCACACCAGGAGCTGAACCCCTGATCTATATGCAAAGTTTAATAATCATTGTACCATGGTGATTAGAATGATTATGGGGATACTGTGAAGAATTCATTTGCAGCAGCTAAGCCAACGTCTTCACATTTGTTTGGAAAAACAATTATAGATCTTAATTGGGAGCCGTGCAATGATGACAGCAGTTATTTCAGTGATTGATTCTGAAATTAAAGAGAACTGGCAAATTAAATACCAGAATATCTTAGATTAGAAAATGGAAAGCTTTAGACAACTTGGAGCATATGTAAATCCTGAAATATGGGAAAATGCTAACAGTAATACCCTAAAATAGCAAAACCTAAACCAACTAAAGGAAATATCAAAAAGGAATTGAGGAGAGCTACAGAAACACCAAAAATCAGCTGGAATTTGTAGGAAGAATTCCTGAGAGTTGCACCCAAATTTTTCAGTGTGGATGCATCCATGGAAGGGGAGACAGCAACCCCAAAAAAAAATGATTTCACATTATTAGAATTTGCCCACAGAATTCCATTGATTTCATATTTAATCAGTCATTACCTTTTGAAACAACGAGTGCTCACTTGGAGGTCAGGGCACTCCCTGTTCTTGGAGCATAGAATTGCATTTCAGAGCCCAGTGTGGGAATCCCCCAGCACAAAACCAGCTCCTGAGCAGTGTGGGTGTGTGGAGAGAGGGCGGGGAGGGGATGACAAAATCCTGTGCTGTGTATCAGGTCAGATTTCCAGGGATAAATGAGAGTTCACTTCAGTTTGTTACCTGGAGAAACTGCCCTCACTGCCAGGAGCTCTGCAAATAAGCAGAAATAGAAAATTTTTATCCTGTGATCATTCAGGAGATGATCACAAGGAGATAATTGCCCTTGGTTTGGGCACTGCCAGGAACCCAAAGTGAGCCATTGGCAATTTCTGTGTGAACCTCCCACCCAATGGAGGGCTTGGAATCACACCCAGAGACCAGCACAAATGCTAAAGGCTGAGGGGATGGCTCTGATATAAAATCAGGAGAAGAGAGTACCTGGCTGGGTCATTTTAGGATTGCTGACCACCTAAAAAGTGGCATTAACAACCCCAAAACTTGCAGGCCTCAGTGGCTGAGTCCTTTATCCTTCCTTTGGCCCCCACGTGAGCAAGGAAAATTCAACCCTAGCATGACTAATGGCAAAGCCACAAAAATTCCCTTCCTGAAACACGTAATATTTATTTTCTTTGAAAGAGAAATTGTATTTTGACATCTGTAAACAGCTGGGTAATGTTGCAGACACAATCCATTTTCTGCTTAGTGGACTAATGGGGACAAATGAAGATTTAAAATAGCAGCGTTCTCATCATTAAATGATCAGTCTCAGACTTGCTGCATAAAAACTTCCCTCTCAGCTCCTGTTCTGCCCTCTCAAGAGCAATCCTTCCTGATCTACATCTCCAAAGCATTTTGGTTGCCAAATTCACGATTGATCATTTGCAAGGACTGTAAGGCACATTCATATTATAAAAAATAATGTAGTTGTAGACAAGGTATAAACCCCCCTCTGGACTGAATGGATAACTTTGTTTGAATAAGTTATAATTACTTTTTGTGGACATTTGGGCGAACACTGGTGACTGAAGTAAAGATTTTCCAAAGAATACCATTATTGCTATCGTTATGATTGATGTAAGAAGCAGTCATGTGTGAAAAATGATCTAATTTTGTGATATTTAACTACATTTTTATCATTACAGGTATGCTACAGCACACTATTTAAGATAAATATGAATAGGCTCGGTAAATTATAAGCATAATTTGATTTTTTTCCCCTCAAAGGTGGAAGCAAAATGGCACAGATATTGATCTTACCATGAGTTATCACTACAGGTTGGTTGGAGGCAGCTTGGCAATCAATAACCCACATAAAAATCAGGATATTGGAACATACCAGTGTTTGGCCACAAATTCATTTGGAACAATTCTGAGCAGGAAGGCAAAGCTTCAATTTGCATGTAAGTTGGGAAGATCATATTTATTAGAGCATTATTTTCCTATTAATTCTGCACATGGACTGTAATTTATTGGGTAATTAAAGGATCATTGGGGATTCTGTCCAAAAGGTTTGACTTTCTTCTGCACTGCTTATTCCTAAAAAAACCCAATATGTTCCTAGTAAATATTAATAACAAAAGCAGACATCTGATGGCTGCTGCCCTCGGGAGCCAGAATAAAATTCAGGAAATTGAAAGGTCAAGGAAGATGAGCACAATTATCTTCACTTAATAAAGGTGTTCTCACTTTTTAGGACAATGGTTTTGTTGTTATCCCACAGGTAGCTACAGCTGGGGGGGGAATTGTTGCAAAAAGTTGAGCTTTGAGTTTTCTGTAGCTAATGAGGTCTAATTGAGACACAAAAACATTGTTCCCCTAATTGGCACACTGATTTTTTTTTAATTTTTTTTTACATTACCAAAGAAACACTCCTTTTCCTTACACAACGTGTAAAAGTGTGAGCTGCTCTCTGAAATATTTCATATTTCAGCTCCCTCAGGTCGAGCACGTTGTCTGTCTTGAGATGATTTAAAGTTTATTTCATCTTTGCTCCCCCGTTTCACTCCTTCACAACTTCACAACCTTTTTCACAAGGTTTGGATGCGGTGACCGAGTTCTGTGAATGCCCTGGGGAGGGGGGGAAACAACAGCGACAGCCAAAAAACTCCAGATATTCCCTCCAGCCCTTCTTTTTTTTTCAGTCCTAAAGCTCAGAGCAGTCTGTTGCTGGGAGAAAGCAATTGTTTTCAAAGCTCATTAATAAAACATGTGACTAAAGCCAACCTTGTGTCACTATTTCAGACACCAGCAAATGGATTAATTATTAATCTTGTTCCATTTCTCATAGCAAACCTCGTGTCACAGGGGTTACACAAAGGAGACATCAGAGGTCAGGCTGGTTCACAGAGTGTCTTTCAGCAGAGCTGATCAAAAGGCATATCACTGGTACCTCATTTAATAATGTTTTACCCTGAATTTCTCAAACAGCTTTGATTCCCAAGAGCTGGTCAAATGTAAAAAAAAAAAAAATTGATTCATTATTTTACCACTTTTTCTGCTGAAACATTTTTTTAAGCCAGACTTCCTGTGTTGGAATTTTTTTTTGAGATTTGGAGGTGAAAGTTGGTTAGTGACGGAACAAATTCTATTTTAGAAAGGAGCAAGAATAGACAGCCACCTCAAAATTGTCCATGGAGTCTGTAATCCCCAAGGAACCAAGGCAGGCCAGGCAGGGAGCTAGGACAAGATCTAAAGAAAGGTAACATCCTTAAATGAAGGCACAAACAAGCTGTAAAAAAAATAAAATTGAAAAAAAAGCAGGGGGGAGAAAGGAAAAACAGGAATATCTGTGAAAGAAAGAAGGCTCTGGTGATTTTTCAGCATTTTATATCAAGCAGTTCCTTTATTTAAGCTTTATGTCCCCACCCAAACACTTTCCAAAGTTCCTGCAGGGAGCAGATCCCAGAGCTGGGTCTGGTTTGCCCCCAGCCCTCAGCCTGCTCCAGTCCTCCAGCTCTAACAGCACCACAGAATCCTAAATTTATCCCATAATCAAGCACTACACCACTTTTCCAGTAGTGGTGACAGATATTTACCACCTTCCCCATGGAGAAGAGAGAGGACAGACAAATCAAAGGCTGTTATTTACACTGACAAGCACAAATTTACAGGAAAATGGTTCAATTTAGCAGCCTCACTGCAGAACTGGGAGTTTTAAGTTGTCTTACAATAGGAAAAAAACCCACAGTACATGGAAAACGTCATAATGACCTGATGGGAATAGTGGAACAAATTACCTTGAAACTCTTATTTCACAGTCAACATTTCCTTGTTTCTTATTTTCATGTTGCCATCCAATTTAATTCTTTGTTTCAACCAATACTTCAGGCTATATCTTAAAATCCAGGCAGGCAGGCACGTTGCTGTGATGACACTTTGATTCAACACTTCACAAAATGGAGGGATTCCAGTCCATTCCCTGGATTGGAATGCCTGGCATATTATTACAATGTCCCTGATAAAGAATTGAATCAAACCTATTATCCAAGTACCAGGGTTTACGTGTATTTGTCTCTTTACTACAAGGTAACTAACTCTGAGTTGGAGCTTGAATTAATGATACCTCCAGAAACCCATTCAACATGTCAACTTAATATATAAAAAATACTTTTTTCCTCTGTTCAAGATAGGAAGTTCTTCGAGAAGCAAAATAAATGCGGGATGAGATTAGAAATATGTCTTCAGATTCAGCTGGAGTTTGGTGCTTATCCTCTATTAAAACCAGAGCTGTCAAAGGAAAGCTGCAGGAGGAATTTTGTACAGAAGGCAGTGGCATAGATTATTAAAGCTACAAGCTGAAAATGAGAGGCAGTGGCAGGGAGAGGGAGCACATAAATGCATTAGGATGGCAGGCCCTTGGCATCCCCGCTTCCTGCACGAGGCTTGTTTTGTCATAAACAAACTCCAAAGCTCCCTATAAATCCTGCACATCTCCTGCTCCCTGCCAGCAGCGCATTTGGAGCAGCCCACGTGTGTTCTTGCAGTTGTTGGGGTGGAAGTTTGTAAAGCTTTGGTATCGGGCCTTGGCTCGTGCAGCCAGCGCCAAGCACAGGAGCAGGGGCCTGGTCCTTGTCCTTGTCCAGGCTGGGGTCATGTTCTGCCACCCACAGGGCTTCTCCCCTGCCAGCTCAGTGGTGACACCAAGCACAGGTCACCTGGAACTATTCAGCTCATTCTAAAATGAAGTGAAATGTTTGGGAGGTTCATCTCGGAGCTAGGCCCGACTCAGCTTGAAGAGATGAGGGCATGAGAGCTTTGCCTTCAGCTTTTCCACAGCTCAGAATTGTAGTGGGATAGAATATAAGAAAATAAAGATCGTGTAGAAAGTAATCTTACCCCTAAGGAGTTGCAGCTGGGCCAATGATCAAAGATTAGGAACAGGCCTGACTTTAATAGGCCATAGCTGTAAGCAATGAGAAGAAGATGCTATAAAAGAGTGGGGTGGTATTGAGAAAAGAACTGGAGTCAGTTGGGTGTTTTGTGAAGAAGAAAGAGTCAGTGCTCTGAGGAGATGCCCATGAGACACACCAAGAAGTTATGGGATTTTGTGATAAGGAGATAACAGTATGGAACCCCTGTGATACGATGACAACACAGAATCAGTAGAGGACAAAGTTTTAAGCTGCACCAAGGGAAATTTAGGCTGGACATTGGGCAAAAGTTCTTCACAGAATGAGTGCCTGGGCATTGGAATGGACTGCCCAGGGGGGTGGTGGAGTCACTGTCCCTAGAGGGGTTCACAAAAGGTTGGATGAGGCACTCAGTGCCATGGTGCAGCTCATAAGGTGGTGTTAGGTCATAGGCTGGAGGCCTTTTTCATCTTGAATCACAGAACTAACAGGGTTGGAAAAGACCTTTTAGATCATCAAGTCCAGCCTTTGCCCAATCTCCCCCTGCTCATAAACTACATCACAAAATTTCACATCTACTCATTTTTTGAACACTTTCAAGGATGGGGATGCCATCACTTCCGTGAGCAGCCAGTTCCAGAGCTTGGCCACTCTTTCAGTGGTGAAATTTTTCCTAAGGCATTTTTGTTTAAGGCATTTCACACCTTAAAAAAAAAAAGACAAACCTGTTGGGGAAAACTGCTTCAGTATGGCTTCAACCAGAACTTTCTCCCAAGGCACACAGGGGATTTGCTTTAATTATTTCCTCAGTTTTAAGCAAAAATAACTGTGTGCAAACAACTGGTCTTGAGGGAAATCCCTGTAACAGGCTGCATGAAACAGCCTGTCCAGGCCTGTTACTTGTTCTTTTAGTTCTCAAACACATCTATAGCAGAGGCATTAAGGGATATGCAGGAGAATTAAGAAGTTCAATTAAACAAACCAGAATAAAAAAGGACTCCACAATGAAAAGGAATCAAATGCAAACCTAATTCATAATTATTCAGGGCATAAACCCAGAAAATTCAGTATTAATTGAAAGCATCTTGTTGCTTTCAATTAATACTGATCTTAAATTAGATTCTCAGTCAAATTATTCTACCCTTGATGATAAAAGTCATGATGATTGCAGATTTCTCAGATCTGAAATTCTGAGAAACAAGGACAAGAATCTAATTTCATGCCTAGAATTGGTCACTTTGCCCTGAACCTCACAGAAGGGCACACATTGGAGCCATTAGACCCTGCATTTTAAGTTTCCCCACAATGCTACAGACCCAGGGAGGATTTCTCCTTGGAGTTTTTGGGCTCCAACCAAATCCTCCTGGTTTTCAAAGTGGTGCTCAAAGGCTTTGCTTGGTGCTTATTCTCAACAGCATTTTCCTGACACTGCCACCCTCCCTGCTCTTGGCCAGTGATGATGTGCTCACAGCAGTGTGGCTGAGAGTGACAGTGCTGGAGCACTTGGAATGAAATCTGCAGCTCCCAAGAGCTTCCATGTGCTTTTTGTCAGAGACAGAAGACACAGTTTTGCTGAAATAACAAATTAGAGGCAATAATTCCTCCTGGACTGAGTTTTTGCCATTCTGAAACACAAAAATAACAGCACATCATTAGCATTTAACCATTTCAGGGAGGAATTTATTAAACCCAATCAAACCTATTTAGTGTTTGCTGGATGGTGACAGGCTGAGCTTTAGCAGAGCCCTGTTGGAGGGGCTGGCTGGGAGATGCTCAGGCAGCATAAAAGCCCACTTTTCATCTGATTACTTCATCGTGTTATTTACCTCTGAGTGCACACAAATTACAGAAACATCACAAAGCAATCCAGCAGCCTCAGGATGTCATAACCCTTTTCACTGGCAGTGTATGCTTTAAAACAGAAAATGGAAAAATCAATAGGCTTGGATCACATAGGCTGAATTTGCAAAGTCTGGACATGCATGAATTTAAGGCTAAATGGCACCTACACTTCTGGCTGGGTTGTGTTGTGGTGCTGTGTGTGTCCAGAA